GAAGAAGAAGAAGAGGGAGGGGAAGAAGAGGAGGGAGAGGGAGAGGAAGGGAGAGGGAGGGGGAGAAGGGGAGGGGGAGGGGGAGAAGGAGGAGGAGGAGGAGGAGGGGAAGGGGGAGAGGGAGGAGAAGGACAAACAGATGGGACAGAGGAAGGGGGAGAAGGGGTAGCAAGGGGAGGAGAGGGTGGAAGAGGATGATGCATGGACCATCGAAGCATTCGGCGAAACCATTGTGTAAGTCTCGTCACATGTGTAGGCTGCCGACGCTGGTGAGCACGAATGTAACAAGTCCATCCTCGAGCCAGTGTTGATGGAGCATGGCCACGGGAAAGCAAACGGCGGGCCAGCAAGGCTGCTGCCGTTTTAAAATCATGCCAATTGTCACAAATCTGCTCAAACCGCGTAAGCTGGCCAGTGAACACACCTGCAGGCTGATGAGATGGAATGTTTGACGTTGCACTAGGGTATCGTCTAACAGGGAAACCCCATGCAACAGTCTTATCATACACACTCAATCGAAGGGATCCATCCGTGCGTGTCTGCAACTTTGCACCTAAAACAGTGCAAGACCCATCAGGGTCTGTTGTCTCCTTCCATTCCAGACCATAACAGGCTGGCGATGGCGGGAGGCAACCGAAAGTGAGGACATCATCAATGAAACGATAAGTGAAAGCATATTGTCGAGCAGCGGAAGGATCCACACGTTGCAGGTTGTCCACGTACTGCGCCTCATCCCAATAAAGTGTAAAATTAGCAATCTCAGGACCAGCATTCGTCCCCATAGGGATACCGACGTCTTGATGGTGCACAAGGCCATCCGCTGTATATAAATATGTATTAGTAACAATAAAACGAAGATGTTGAAGAATGTCCGACACAGAGAGAGCGTCAGGTCCCGTATCGGTTGTCCACTCCCCTGCACGCGGTCCACGGACCACCATACGAAGAGCAATATTGGATGAACGTGTCCGTGTATGCTCCTGTGCCTGTGCAAGAGCGTAGGCATGTGCCTCATCAACGGCGTTAGCAACATTGTTAAGAATGCGTTCATGAGGAAGATTAGTATACATGGTAGTAAAATCGACCGTATGAGGGACCAGACCTCGAAGAAATGCTTTATTCTTTTTTAGGTCAAGCATGACCTCGCCATTGCTCTGAACAATCCAACATCGTCGAATGCCTTCGCGTTGAAAAAGCTGATTATCTTTTTCGCGAAGAGTGCAGATGACGCCTTGAAGTGCCGCACTCAAACGAGCCGAAGTTGCTGTTGTGCTAGCAACAGGCTTGTGAGGCGGCCGGTGATGCAAACGCTGGACTCGTTGGGAAGGGTGCAGGTCATTTCACTGGGCCATATGAGAAGAAGAAAGGTTGTTATGGGAAGTGATACCAAGAATAGTTCGGAGTGCAGGGGGAGACTTATGGGCCTTCAGCGCGCAATAGAGATATGGCAATATGTCAGCATGAGGGTAATTCCAATGATTGTTCCAAAGTGCATGGCGATTCAGAACATCAGCCACTGTTTCCGTAGGCCGGGAATATGTAGGACTGTCAAGATGAGTAGAAAGATGGAAACGATACCAGTCCTTGCAACAAATCGCCAAAATATATATATATATATATATCGTCACAAACATATATATATATATCGTCAAATAGAACTGCCCGGTAAACCGTAGGCAGAGAGGGAGAAGAGGACAACAAACGAGGGGCTGTATATATATATATCGTCAAATAGAACTGCCCGGTAAACCGTAGGCAGAGAGGGAGAAGAGGAC